AAGTGTTGATAGAATTACCAGTGTAAATCCACTATGCCACTTGTAGCTGCTGGCTGTTGAGGGCATGCCGTAGCATAAACCAATCACATGCTGCTGCGACACATACCATATCAACCAATCTGGACGGCCTCTTTTTGTATGTAAAAGCATATGGCTCTAGCTGTCAACAGGACGTGCTGGGGGATGTGAATTAGTTGCCTCATTTTCGTTTGTATGATTGTGTTCAACACTCGATGAACGAGCAGCGCACGTAACGCGGGTGCGTGCGTGCGTGGCGTGTGTCACGTACACGTGCGTGGCGTAGGCGTGTATGTGCAACGTACCCGTGCATGTAGCGTGTGCCACGTACACGTGCGTGGCTCGCGTACGTACCCGGGCGTGCGTGCGTGCGTGTGTATCGTAACACGTGCGTGCTTGGTGCCACGTAACAAGTGCGTTCGTGTGCACGTACAAGTGCGCCACGCGGCGTGTGCACGTACACCGGCTAACTACGAACTCGCATTATAACGAATAACAGATGCGCAAGCTATGACAAAAAAAAGGCCGTCCAGAGAAGAGGCGGGCCGGCCCTGTTGGTTGTCTAGTGAGGGGTGGTGGAGAGTGTATTTATCTCTTCCCTACTTTTCTCAAGGTTGAGAAATTAGTTAATGCGTGCACATATATCACATATTATTAGTTATTCTCTCAACCTAAAATACTCCAGAATTGGCGATGCTGGCGCGGGTGAGGTGCGGAAACACCTGGGAACGTTTTTCCTGATGTCCGGTGTCGCCGACTATACAAGGGCGAGCGGGGGGTCCGGGACCCCTGGTCCGTCCCAGCTCGTTCGTCGTAAAGTTACGCAAAGGTTTACGTAAATTGTTAGCATTGATAACGCCGACACTGTCGGCAACGTGATCACGATCATGACCGAGAAACGCCCGCTTGTAAACGTGCGCAGAGAGACTTCGATCAACTGACGGGTGGAGTCGCAGGGCGTAGATTCATACGAAAAATTTACTAAATAGCTGTGTTGATGAAGTCGCAACTAAGCAAAGCGTCGATGGCGTACACAAGATTTACGCGAAAATATTTTGCGTAACGCAGCTTGATGAATCATGAATCTCCCCGCGACTCCACCGTTCGTGCAAAGCGCCACGTATAGTCTACAGTTCCGCGGGACGTGTACAGTGGGTGGTCCAGGGGGTCGCGGACCCCCCCCCTCTGTCGCCAGGAAAAACGATTCTGAGGCGTCTAATTTCAAAAATTTCTGGGGAGAGCCGAGCCCAGGAGCGCCCCCCTTCGCGTGCTCCTTGTACACGCCCCTGTTTGCCCCCCCACAGAAACATACCCTGGCGCCGCCCCTGTCTAGTAGTAGCTAGTGGTTCAAGGATAGAGAACATGGCTCCCAATATTATATGGCCCCAATGTATGTATGGCATGGCCAATAAACCAATGTCATTTACATCAATTAAATATAATTATATATCAATATAATAGGTTAGGGTTATGGTTAGGGTTCGTCATAGCTCTAGTACTATAGCCGCTTACATTAACTGCGCTGGCAGACGACCGCTTCGACCGCCAGATAACGCCGCAGCGCAGTTAATGTAAGCGGCTATAGTACTAGAGCTAGGTTCGTCATTATTAGTAAGTTAGTTAATACTAGTAACAGAGTTAGTCATTATTACTATTACTATTAGCTCCTGCGGTCCTGGTAGTTACTAGTACTAGTACTAGTAGTGCTGGTAACTTAGTAGTACTACTACTACTAGTACTAGTAGTTAGTAGTGTAGTGCGGTCGGGTAACAAGCGCATCTTTTGCGCAACGCCATCTTGTACACGGTCTCTAGTGCCGCTAGTGGCTCAGTCTAAACGAACTGATGATCAGTGTGTGCTGTACCGTGTACGTGCGGGCTTGATCTTGCCACGGCAAAAACATTCGCGGGCGCTGCGGGCAAACCAGATGAGACGATAAATCAGTCAGCTTTCGTGTCCAATTGACTGGTACGCACGTTCATTACGCCAAGTATCTCTCGCTACACTAAAGTTATAGTAACTCGAGCGTTACAAAATCGACGGCGGGGCAGTCTAAGCCTAATTGCCCTTCTTTCTGTGGCAAATTCTCTCGAACATCCCTCCAAGAGAGACTCGTCGCCCCATCTATGGGTAGCGATAGTACGAGAATAAATTCACGGCGTGTAATTAAACAAATTCAAAATGGTTTTTGTACAAAAAGAACTAACGCGCCAACCAAAAACAATTCCAATTACGACCATTGGAGTTATTCTCGCCCTACGTGCATAATCCAAAAGTTTGTCCAAGCGCCACAACTCCTGAATTGACCGATAACACCCCGATTTTACATAACCATGGAAATGTTTCGAAATGGGGAGCAGCGTATTCGTTCTAAATGGCGCCACAGGTGGCGCTGTTCGCGCTTCGCGCGGATATCTGCTGCGGAACGTCAAGTTCAACGCTACGAAATTTGAACGGCGTCATTGACACCCGCGACCGTGCTGCCACCCTGAAAAGGTTGCGCATTTCCCCAATATATTTTGCACGTTACAGAATGAGGGCTAATCACAAACGTGCAATTATATTTATACCTAAATTCTATTTAACCGAACGATGTTCATTTTAGGACAAATTTATCCATAATATAACTGAAACTATATGTCGTTTATAAGATATTACAATCCTTTTGCTTTTAAATTAATAAATAAGAAACACCCTCGGTCTGTAACCCTTGGCTGAAAAGTCGTTTTGCGCAACTTTTCAGATCGTGCGCTTTGAGTGGCGCTACCGTCGGTGTAGTCGTTAGTTTTAAAACATTGAAAAAAAAATTTCGAATGGTGATTGAACCATGAAACTTTTTATGTAGCATAATTTTAACCTAAATAAACTGAAAATAACCCTAGAACCTAGAGTAAACGATCCCTTTAAATGAGTCATCAGTTCTCAGTTCAGCTCGCCACGTCACCCGGCACAGCAATTGTGACCTAAATAACCCACATGTTTTGCGTACAGACACAGCTTGGTGCGGGATAACTTATCCCGCGCCTGGCACTCCTTCATTTTCGGGGCCAAATTGGTGCGGGCCAGCACATATTGGGAGCGGGATAGCGTGTACACACTGCACAAATTTACCTTGTCAAATTTGTAGTCTGTATGGGGGTCTATGTTACAACTGTTATGTTTTAGGAGACATCTTGCATGCGTACTTTGCCAAAAAATGAAAAATAACAAATTAGCTTGCTAATATATGAGATTTATTACATAACCAGACTTCTTAAGAAATTGCTCTATAGATTTACAAACTGTTAGAAAAGAAGACAAGATAAAAAATCCAGATGAAAGACCGGATACCAGAGCCAGGCTATAAGTTATAACATAAAAGTAGCGAGTATAAAAAGACATAACAAAGTTCCTACAGTTCCTCGAGTTAAAATGAAAAGTTTAGTACGTGGTCAAGCAATTACATGAATATTATTATACTACACGTATCAATGTCAACTCTGTATGAAAATCCTCTAGAAATGCCCAAAACCTTTAAGAACAAGACTTCTAATTAATTTTCTAGCTGCATTTTGTTTATTTATGCTGTTATTGATATAATGTATGCTATGTTAATCATCGAAATAAATCAATCACACACACACACACACACACATAGTCATCTGTAAACATTTTCTGGATTGCTTGAACGTTTTTGTGGATCTGCTGCTTTCTGAATGCCAAACATTCAGTGCTTGTGAAATATTCATGCAATCATTTAAATGTAAAATCTTTACGTTTAATACATGTGAAATTGAATTTGTAATATTTTCCTTCTCTTTCGTTAATGTGCCAACAGTTTAGTAGACTGCTCATCTGGTATATAAGCGTTAATTTCATCCCTTTTGTGATGAAATTATGTGCGTGTAATGTGATAGGAAAGGTAAATAAAATGTACGATATAATGATGATTTGCTACTGGAAAAAATGCATTAATAGTTTCCTCTTATACGAGACACCGTATTTCTTAGTATATATATATAT